CGCCTCCCCCGCCCCCGGGGCCGCCCGGCTGCCCGCACCCCCGCCGCTGCAAGGCCCGTGTTGAAGTCAGGGGTGTGCTTGGGCGCGGGTTTTGGCAGGACGGGCCTCAGGCTCTCCCGGGTGGGCTGGGGAAACAGCCGGCCCCGCAGCCACCGCCTGGAAACGGCCCTCGCAGGCAGCCTCGGAAGTTTAAAAACTCCCCACACGAAGGCAGAAGCGCTCGAGGGAAAAGCGAGGCTTTGGAGAAGAAGTGGTGTTTAGGGAAAAATAAAAAGAAAAGCTTGTTAAAACTTGTGGCCCTCCTCCTCGGTTTATGAAAACGGAGCAGCAGCAGGCAGGGATCTCTCACCTCCCCATCCATCCCTCCCGGCGCCAGGAGGGTTTCCCTCGCAGGAACGAAGAGCCACGGAATGACGACGGATGGAAACCTACGCCCTCGTCCTCCTGTAGTACCGATCAAAAGAGGAAACCTTGGGGTCAGAGGGCTCGGTGCTGACAGAGAAAGGCTGAGCTTTGTATTCGTGATGGTCCTGCTTAGGGCTACGCGTGATGCGAATGTCACCTGTGGGTGGGATTCCCAGTACCTGGGACTGGGCTCTGTGCCTTTGCCTGTGCTCCCAGAATCATTCCTAGCGACTTTATTATCTCCTTTGAGATCCCTTACAGGTAGTTTTTTCCAGGTTGCTTTTGATTCGAGATACATATTTTGACTTCATGCAAATCCTGATTTCTTTAGTGAGGCTCTCAGAAGCAGAGCAGAAAAGGCTTTTAAAAAGTATTTGATGTTTGCCCTGAGCAGGCTTCTATTTGATCTGAGGGAAAAAAAAAAATAATAAAACAAACCCTGAAAAACTAAAAGTTGTGTTTTACTCAGGAAATAGCAGGTCTGCAAATTACGTTATTTTGGAGAGATCACCACAGCGATGCCCAGTGTGCAAAGGAAAAGCAGACGCTGAGGAGCTGATGCCTTCAAGCAGCAGCGTAGGAGCGGCTCGGTAGGGGGGTTCCCAGGCCGGCAGCCTGGGATCACCTTCGGACTCCAGAAAAAATCCTTGCTGGCATGACTGGCCGCTCCACAGGTTTCTTCTTGACCCATCCTTGCCTCACTGCCAAAAGGCATTTCTGGCCCAGGGTAACGGCTCCCCCCTCCAGCCTCTCCCAGGGTAACGGCTCCCCCGTGGAGCCTCTCCTGCAGCCGCTTCTCCCCAGTGCTTCCCACCATGGCCCCCGGCAGCGGTGCCCTCGTGTGCCCCAGGGGAGCTGCCTGAGCTCCTGTGTGGGACGAGGCACGGTGGGGCACGAAAGCCCCTTTCTGGCCTCATCTCTCTTCCCAGGACGCAGAGCCCATCAGCCCCAGCCACGGAGCAGCCTGATCCAGGTTCTTAGCAACGAGCTGCCCATCCATGTCTAGCAAGGTTTGTAAACCTGGCTTTGGAAAACCTCACCATGGCTGATACCAACAAGGGTCCTTGGCAGTATGATCATGACAGCTGATTTCTTACTAAAAATATTCTTAACAAAACTAACTTAAGAGGAAATACTCCCCGTGTTTCGAAATACTTGCAAGGGGAAGCACCCTGCCGTTCGATGGAGACAGCGAGGTTTTATGGGAACTGATGCAAAACTGAGGGCATTAAGAAAAGCTTGTCACAGCTGGTTCTCCCCCACGCCCTCACAGGAGGAAGAGCAGGCAAGAAGCATCACCTTATTTAAACTGCCAATATTTATTCATGATCTCACACAACCTCAGTGAAACTGGGTCCGGGCTGGAGATAAAAAAGGACCTCAAAGCTTAATGGGCTCTCACAAAAACTCATCATTACCTGTGCATGAGGGTGCGGATGATACGTGTCCGTCCGTCTGAGCACCCCTGTCCTCCAACGCACCCTCAGTGTCAGCTGCCTGCCCTGGCAGAGAGAGGCTTTGCTTTCACACAGCAGCAGAGGGTGCTTGCAAAGGGGAAAAAAAGGAGCAGAGGTGATGGCCTCCTCTTCTGTTTGCACCAGCTATGCCTTTGCTCCCCCCCAAAACTCTCCACCAACATACCCTATAGATATAGGGGCCACCCCACAGACACACAGCTTAACTGCTCTGGTCTTAGGGGTGGAATTGCAGAAATTTAGCCCGAAGTGACCGGAACCAGGTAAGCTGAGAGGAACCCCAGCCTGCGGTGAGGATCCGGCCGCCCCGCTGCATGGTTAAAATGGGGTTCAGCTTCTCCAGTTGCTTTAGGTGACTCAGTAAAGCATGAATGAAAAAAGCAACCACAACAGCTCACAGCAACTTTTACTGGTTCAGTAGGGCTTTCTGCAGGCTACCGTAAATCTGAGGAGCGTATTGAACTGTGGATCTATTGCCATTCGTATTAAAGCCACAAACTGAAGATAGCTGCTGTGTGTGCAGCTCACGTACCAAACTCGGCAACCGCTCTGCCTTGGCTTATTTCCTTAAAGGAATAAATAAGAATTAAAGATAGGCAGTATTTTAAAAAGTAGGGAATGCTTTTGATTAAGGACTTCTCCTTTGGCTCTGGCTTTGCACTGAGCAGTAACATTCCAGGTAGATCTCAAATCCGTGTTTTGAAAAGCTGAAAATGGAAAAAAAAAAGGGCAATTGAATTCTTTTGCTTCTGAGCATTATAGATTTTTAAAGATCCATATTTTGAAAACTACACCACTGTCCTATTATTTTTTTCTTACATTCAGAAATGGCTTTAATGTAATAATACTTGACAGGATGATTTTTTCCATTAAGGCTTTGTGATGGCAGATCATTAGTTCAGATGTTTCTTTTATTGGTTTATTTTCAGATTATGGCCATAAGACATCAAAGAATAAAAAATGTCCCTTTTTTTTTTTAATGTGAACCTGGGTGTGTGAAATAGCTTTGAAAAAGTATAAAAATAGCTATTTTTCTAGAAAACTTGTTTTCTCTGTGCTCTGCAAGGCTCCTGAAAAATGCAACCAAAAATTTGGGCTATAGATAAGTAAGGCTCACTAGGAAGTGTAAATGAACAACTTTTTCCCAGCAACTCTTCCCTCCTTTCAGCTCAGGCGGTCTCGGGTTGGTGGGTACCAGTCCTCGCTCTCCTGCTCCGGGAGCCTCCGACTCGGCTTCTGCACCTTCCCGGGCTCCCCGACAGGCGCTTCTCTTCCACAGCACCCCTAACCCTTCCCAAAATCGTGCCTTGAGGAGTCCCACAAAGACGTTCTCGTCTGCAAAGAGGAGAAAATACCCTGGATACACCCTGACTTCGGTAGCATTTGGTTCTTAAATGAATGTGCTTCAGCAGGCGCCTTCACGCTGGAAGCATTTGCACGGCCATTACGTGGCCCCGCTGTGGGTCGGAGGGCCCTCCAGCTGGGGGACACAAGCAACGTCGTGTTATTTAGCTGATGCTGACGACAAATTTAAAAAAACAGCAATTTTTCCAAAGCAAGGAGCACTTGGCCCAACCCCAGACTGGGCTAGCTTTGTAGAAAGGCTTAATCAAGGATGTGGAAATAGGAAAACATGCATAAAAGTGCAGATTGCTGAGCTGGAAAAAGAAAAAGGGGCAGCCGACAAATGCCATGTTCTTTGGGCCAGACTCGAAGTATTGATGTCACACACTTGGGTTTCCATGACCAGAATAGGGAATCAAAAAAAATCAGTGTCTGGCTTTGTGGCACGACTTTGTCCCTCACCTTTTCCGAAGATAATTCCAATAGACGCAGACATGGATTTAGAAATGGAAATAATTTTCCTCATCAAATGGCTTCAGCTACCCTCAACTTTGCACTGACCGGAGACACCGAGGAAGCCACCGCTGGCGCCCATCAGCGTTCCCTCCTGCACTGAACCTGTGTTTTGCAGGCATTTGGGTCCTGCACGGGTCCTGCAAGAAGCCCGAGCCCGGATTCTCGCTGCCACCCGTTTTCCCGAGCACCCGGTGTGCATCAGCGGGGTGGGAGGCGAGGGTGCCAGATGAGCTGCTGCGCGCAGCTGGGGCTGCGGAGGGTGGGGACGAAGCGCTGCCGCCCAGCAAGGGGTCTGTGAGCATCCCAGCAAAGGAAAATGCTGGAGAAGCAGATGAAAGACAAACTGAAAGGGAAACAAAGTGGAAATAACAGAGTCAGTGAATCCCCCCTACCATTTGCCTGGAAATCAAGTCAGAGATAAAGCTGTCTGCTGCAGAAAAGAAAGACTCTTCTTTTTTTCCAGCCCCACCCTCAGATGGGTACAAGCTGCTTATTAGCAGCAGACCCCAACCCCCACCTTCCAACAGCAATGCCCTCCTCCCTCCCCCCTGCTCCCTTCCTCCCTCTGCCCAGCAAATCCCGCATCCCTGTGCCGGGCTGGATGCTGGCTCCATCCTTCCTGGCTCAGCCGGTGCAGGGTGTCTGGGTGCGGGGCGCACGGACGTGCACAGCCAGTTCAGGTCCCAGTACTGACGGATGTGATGTGACATGAGGACAACCATCCCACAGATGTCCCCATCCACAGGTTCCCACCAAGGCCAGCTTTTTCCAGCCTTCCCTGTGCAGCCCCCCAAACCGCGAGGCATCAGTCCCCTGTCCTCTTCTCTCTTTTGGACCAGCAATGGGGATCCCATGAGTGCTACGGGGGAGCAGCCAACCCTTTCCCACCAGAAAGGAAAGGAGGGTTCAGGACTCAGGCCATCAAATAGGATCTAAGAAGAGATTTCCCAGAGGAAGAGCTGACATTTCCCCCAGTGACATGCTGCTTGATGCTACCCAGCCAGGGGCTGCAGTCTCAGTTAATGACTTCCATTATTTCAGTCTTCTGCTAGAATTTCATGTTGTCTGAAAAAAAGTGGGGGCTGTAGAGCCTCCACGGGGCTCTCCTCTACCCACCGCCGGGTCTTACCCACCTAAGCAAACGGGAAGGGAAGGAGGCACCCTCCGAGCGATGCTGAGCAGAGATTACGGAGTTACCTTTACTTCTCCGTTCAGTTAAACCAAATTGGATTTGCCAAGCTGGCAGCCCCTCTCCTGCCTTCTCTGGCTAGTATCAATCTAATTAAAACGTTTGTTCTCCCACGCAGCTTTTCTTCTCCTCAATTCAAGTTACTGGAAAAGCAGAAAAAACAGACTCTGAAGGGTCGGGGCTGGGGTCAGCTGGCAGAGCTCAGCGCAAATTGCCAAAGCAGCATCAGCACAGAGGCATCAAAGCAAGGACCCTGCCACGGGGCTGGGAGGGACCGTGGCAACATCTCTGCTTTCCCACGCAGGCTTCTCAAACGTGGGTGCTTGAAACCCGCATCTAATAAAGCCCCAGGAGAGCTGGTGCAGGGGTGTCAAAGGCAGAGTGGCTTTCATGTCGGGAAGAGACTCTTCTCGTATCGACAGGAGCCTCTTCTTCAGTTTGCTGCGGGATACAGCATAAGAAATTAAGTTTTGCGATAGCGCAGCCCTTGCAAAGACACCTCTAAAAAGTGCGTTTTCCCCTTCATCTGCTGCACAGAGACTCACGCTTTGTTTTCCCTCTCTTTTTGAAAACACAGGGTCTCACTGTTCAGCTGCTCGGTGCTGACGAGCATCATTGCTCTTACAGCCATTTCTCTGCGGTACTTGGCACGGGGGAATTTGCACTCCCAGGGCAGCGGCAGCCCCTGCCCCTGCGGGGTCTTGTCTGAAGCAGCAGGAGCAACCACAGTGGGGTGCCCCGGGGAGGGGGTGAGCCGGCACCCCAGGGACGGCGAGGCGAAGGGACTTGCTGCAGGCTGCCCAGCGCAGGGCAAGGACCGCGGTCCTGGTTCCCACCCAGGCAAGCGCCTCGTCCCCAGGACCAGCTGGTCCCTGGCTGCATGCTGCTGGAGAACCGACAGCTCTGTCCTGAACACAGAGGCAAACAGTCACTTGTTCTCAAGAGATTTCATTTCATTTGGCAGAGACGGAGAAGCCGATCCCTTCTCTCTTTTCCTCCAAGCCTCACAGGAGAGGCAGGAGCTCTGCCCTTGGTCTGCACCGGCCTTTTTCCACCAGCTGGGATTTCCCCTCCCCTCACCGCCTGGGACCCCGGAGCCTCTGGGATGTCTCGCATCCCCGAGGGGCGCTTGGATGCAGCCCCCCCCCCCAGCTGCTTTCTAGGGACTTGCTATCAGCTTTTACACCACTCGATTTGTTTCACTGCCCCGCAGCTCACTGGGAGACCTCAGGTTTTTGCCTTTCTTCACCCCGTTCAGCTGCCTGTTCCGGGGTCCCTGAATGCACAAGCCCTGCCGGGGAGCTCCCAACGGTGCATCCCACGTGGCTCCGTGTCCTTTGCCAGGTACCACCGGGTTTCAGCGCAGGAGCCCCTGCTGAAGCTGGCACTGCTTAGCTTCCCCTCTCAGAGCCCCAGAAGGACTACCCAGGAGCATTTAGCCTTTCAGCAGTTCTCAAAATAACACCAAATAAATAAATAGCCAAAGTAAATGACAAAAACAAACCACTGCCTCCAAGGTGAAGCATTGCCTTCGACACCCCATGGCCCTTCCACCCTTGTTACAGCCCGGCCACGTGCCAGGATGAGGAGCAGCCCCACGAGGACACAAGCCTGTAGCCCCAGTGCCTTTGGCCGAGATGCTCCGGACAGTTTTTCACCCATTTCTGTGTCTCAAGGGATGAAGATGGGGCACAGGAGGGGAGCATGAGATGGCGGGAGTCCCAAGGCCAAATCCACTGAAGCCTCGACGCTGCCAGCGAATCCTGAAGGCTGGAAAACTGCCCTTCAGAGCTGGGGAAATCTCAGTTTCACAAAGGGAAAAGAAGATTTCCATAGGCAATGATGAGAGCAGCATTTTAAGCTGCCAGCCGTCGGCAGTGCCTGCTGAAGAGAGGTGCAGTCGTGGCGCGAGGGAGGGAAGGTGCCTGGCAGATCTTCCTGTGATCTCTTACATCCAGGATGGGGAGGTGGAAGCCAAGCCAAGGCAGCACTTTTCTCTCTTTAGCAGGACACAAGTTAATGTTTATACGACAGACTGACGGCATTTTAATTATCTAGTGAGCAGTTTGTAGCCTTTGAGAGACTCACTGGCAATGCCATTGGGGCATCCAAAGGAGTTCGGAGGGTTTCGGCTGGGCACGGGCAGGGCAGGGAGGCCCTGGGCACCGGCTGCTGGCCCGGAGCTGCGGAAAGGGCTCACAGCGAGGGGGCAAGGGCTGATGGCGCTGAGAGGGTTCAGACAGCTGGGTTTTGTCATCTCCTACATTTGAAGGAAAGAGAAGTTCATCACCGTGTGTTTATGTAGCAATTTTCACCCTCGCCATTTACAGACTCTTCCTGAGGACGGGGAAAGACCACGCTGCTTTCTGGGCCTGATCAGCAGCAGTCTGGCATTAAATGATAATCTCTGGTGCTCACCTGCGCTGCATTTGTTAGAGACCCTCTGGGCCCCAGCTCCAGGAGAGGCAAAGGACAGTGTCGCTACCTGAAACCTGCCCCCAGCTTCAGCACAAGCAGGGATAATCTCCAGAGGTGGGATTCGGGCACAGCCCACCCAGCATTAGCATCCCTGGGCATGGGGAAAGCAGCACGGCTCTCGTGACCACAAGAAAGCTGCATTTCAAACAGGAGCAGAGTTTTCTGGTATTTTCCTAGAAAATGTTTCTCAGTCGCTTTTTTTTCTATGCAACAGGAGAGAGAAATCATCCCCACATTAATCAATTAATAAGCAGCGGCAGCAAGAGCTCGCACCGTTGGCAGCTCTCAGTTAAGTGCGGTGGGTCACGCAGATTTGTGACTAATGGGCCACATTAATTCCCAAATTGTTTCAGCCCGGCTGGATGGCTCTGGTGGAGGGGGAGGATTTAAGACGATTGCTGTTCCCATCTTAGGAAGCAGCTATTTACTGTTGTTACTGCTCATCAGGGAATACTTTAAAACGCTCAAAATCTATCAGCCAGATTTTAACCTCCTTTAGTAGGGAGTGGGAAGCAGGTGCTGCAGACGTGGTGTAGAGCTGTCTGAGTTCACGCTGGACCCTGGCAGGCAGCCACAGCCCTTCTCCAGCACGTGGAGGAACGCAGAGCATAGGCGGTACTCAAAGACGCTATGGATGCCCTGGCAGAACAAGCAGCAGCACTTTTCGTCGGTGGTACCGCTAGCTGATCTCTCTGTTCAGCCTCCCAGGAGCTCCAGGCATCTCTGCCATTGGCATCCCACCAAAGCAGGGGAATGTGGCTTCTGGGCCCTGCCCCTCGCCCTCCCAGGGCAGCACACGGCCCGGGACAGGCGGGGAGCACGGGGGACCGACCACAGAGCATCTGCAGGGCGGCAAGGAGAGAAACAAGGAGGGTTCCCCCGGCCGCGTGTCTGCTTTGGAGGGCCAGCAGCTCGTGGAAAGGCAGCACCTCCCCTGCCCCCTGGAGCCGTCACCCCCCAAACGTCCCACCCGCCTTGGCTTGGCACCAGGCTGCGGTGGTTGTTACTTCCCCGAAACACACTGGCACTTACCCGAGGCCTCTACGGGCTCGAGATACTGAAAATAAAAGCCGTTATTTCTTAAATGTAGAAGAGGTACAAGGGGGCGCTCTGGATGCCACGTGAGTTCTTCGCAATCAGGCCGACAGTGCTGGGCTCACCAGGCAGAAAGACAGTAAAAAAATGAACATTATTGCTCCCTGCCCATACCCAAACCCACCCCACCCCCAACACAAGCCCCAGGTCTCCAAGAGCTTCCACTAGCACTCCTCTGAAGTCATTTCTCCACCACTCCGCCTGCCCACAACACACTGATGGCTGGAATAAAGACTGGAAAGGCTTTCCATAACTAATACAGAAAAGCATTGCTGTCTAATGAAACCTTTATAGTCCAGCAGACATCTATTACAGCGCTACAGCTTTTCTTCTTCTTGTGTTTGTCAGCACCAACCCATACTTTCTCTACAGCTTTTCAGACATCCCTGTCTTTGGTTTACTGACACCAGGGTGATGGGCACCCACTATTGCTGCGATTTCTCACAGCGGGACCAGTGCAATCTCTCAGGTGACTGGTGAGAAGGACATCAAGCACAAGTAAGAGAAATTCTCAGCAGTTGGAAGTTGAGTCTATTTTTCTGTTTTTAAATTAATACCAGAAACCTTGCTGTTAATTTTCATAAACTCCCCAAACCAACAAATCAGGCAACCCTTCTTATATACTTACACTTCTCCGACAGTTGTCTTCTCCATGTCCTACGGGAATAAAAATTGCGGTTTATTTATGACTGGATTATTATTTCTTTCTAATACAAGCACCTCAAGTTTTCCTTTGCCATTTGTCTTTTGTTCTCACTGATGCCCAATAAATCAAGAATATATGTAGGTGAAAATGAAGAACTTTCTCTTAATGATTTTAGACGAGTGCAGAATTTCAAGACAGTGCACGCCCCAGGGGCGAACCCCCAGCCTTCAGGACCGCTTGCCCACAGCCTTGTAGCCTACTTTTGAGATGTAAACCTCCACGAAGTGCTTCTAAGATGCGCTGGTATAAAAGGCTACTGTTTTGACTTAGCAGCCCTTTATCCTGCAATAGGAGAAGTGGCAATAGCAGGTACGTGCAGAGGGATCAGACAGGAGGTCATTTGACGGACAGGTATCTCAGCATTTCTACCCAGGCAAGAAGCCACAGCAGGGCCAGGGAAATTGCTCCTGGGAGAGAGTTACCAAAACCATTTTGTTCGTGTCCTATGGAACCAAAAGACAGAATTCAGGTAGCAGGTGTTTCTGGCTCATGTGAAGGCTGATTTGCCGAAGATCCCAAGGGAGGAGATTAGCAAAGAGATCTTCTTTCAGCAGTTTTATGAAGATGATGCGTACGTGTCCCTTTCAGC